ACAAATGTGTCTTCCTATATAAGAAAGATTTACAGTCTCATGTTTCAAAGTCATGAGTTTTTAAAACTATTCAAATAAACATTTCAAAATTATGGGAAATTAATTTGTGATTTTTGGTAAATAAATACACAAGCTTCATTATTATGATGAGGTTTAGAGTATATGTAGATTTAGTTTACATTTCAGTTCAGTTGGGTCACTCAGTCATGTCCAACTCTTTGAGACCCTATGGACTGCAGCACACCAGGCTTCCCTGTCCATCGCCAACTCCCAGAGCTTGCTCAAACTCATGTCCATCAAGTCTGAGATGCCGTTAGCAGCACTTATTTGTGAATATTTTGAAGCATTCTTTCTTATACGTGTAAACAATATGATTGTCTTTCCCATATGGTGCTTTACCTTTGTAACACATTTGTATCAAAAATCTCATATTTTTTTTCAAGTGCAGTTGAGGTTTTAAATCTTGAAATTTTAAATATAACTTGATTCAGATGACCAAAAGATAACGGAGACTTCCACAGGGTCCATATTACCAGTATTGCTAAAACAAACAAATACTAAATTACCAAAAAGGGGATGTAGTACAGAGACAAATAATTGCATTTTTCTAATGAAAGCATTGTTCGCAAATACTTTGATGCCTGGTAACACTTGATTTGCAAGCATTGTTGAATGCCTCAATCGCCATCTGTAATGGTTAACCTTAAGGTTTCCACTTGGCTAGGATATGGTGTCCAGTCGTTTGCCAAGCACCAACCCAGATGTTTCTGTGACTAATGTGTAAATCAGTAGGTTTTGAGTAAAGCAGATTACCTTTCATAACATGGGTGAGCCTCCGCTAGTGAGTTGAAGGCCTCAAGAGAAAAGACCAAGGTTTATTTAAGAAAGAATGATCAAGGTTGCAACATAGAAACCTTGCCTAAGTTTCCACCCTGCTGTGCTGTAGGTGGATGATGCTTCCAGCTGCTCTTCTCTGCTTTTGCTTTGCTCACAGTGCTGAATTCAAACAAAAACAAACAACAACAGAACAACGTAGAGTTGAATATGAAACTAAATTCTTTTTCTGGCCCCTTAAGAATTTTTTTCCAGATTATATCCATCTTTAAAATTTTTCAAGATGGAGATTTGAGAACTAAGTTTTGTAAACAGGAGTTAGATATTTTTCGATCCTCTTAAAAGAGTCAGAAGTGTTTATTAACTGACAAGCAAACTGAAGATGGAAGACCTCCACTTGCCTCTACCAGTTAAATGATCCATCCAGCACCCAGGGATTGATCTTCCCTTCAAATACAAGGTGAAACCTATCACCATCTTCTGTCCCGTTAGTCACACACTGCTCAATGTGGCACCAAAGGGAAGTGAGGTAGAACCGTGGCCGTGCATGTCCATAAAAAGTGATGGTGGTAAGTCAAGCGGGGTGTCTGTTCAACTGGAGCATGTATTCTATTTTGAAGCCATCAAGCTTAATAAGATTCAAAAGATGCTTGTTCTCTTTAAAAAATTTTTTTAAATAAAGATAGGCAATAAAACTTGATTTGAATGAACCTCTGAAAGAGGGCAGTTATATTGGCATTATTTTATTTTTTTAAAGATGTTTTGTTATTTTTCAATGGGTAAATGCAAGTGTAAAAAATCAGAGAGGTCTGTAAGCAGAACCCTTTAGAAGCCAGCTACCCTGGCCTTTTCACTTCATTTAAAAATTATAGATGATGCAGTTCTGAAGATGTAAACTGGGTCAATCTGAAGCAGGAAAAAACTATAGTCATACAAGAGGAGTACCAGTACTAAGAATTCTAACAATGAAGCAGAATGCCCTCTGGAAAAGCAAGTGGTTTATCTCAAGTTCTTTACCCAGAAATGGTCTTTCAGCCCATACCTAGCAATAGTGCTTAACAGGCAATCACCCTCTGGTAAGAACGTTTGGAAAGTAAAATGTTAGTGAAGGGATTTCCCTAGTTGTCCAGTGGTTAAGACTCTACCTTTCCACTGCAGGGGGCCAGGGTTCCACCCCTGGTCAGGGAAATAAGATCCCATATGCCTCTTAATATGGCCCCAAAAATTATAAAAAAATAAATAAATAAAATAAATAAGATGAATAAAAATTGGAAACAAAGAAATAAAAAACTTCATAATTTTTTTTAAAAAACATCATCTTATTTGTTAGGAAGAAGAGCCTTTGGCAAAGAGGCAGTGCAAAGATCCTTTAGGTCTAGAAAAGGCAGTTTTGAGGATGCAGAGAAAAAGTGAACAGGAAGGAAAAAAGTATAGGATGGAGCACATGGATTTTCATTCTTTCTACTACTGCCTAGTAGAGGAAAGGTATTCAAAAATGTCTGAAAACACATTGCAAAAGAGACTGTCATTTTTAATACTTAGAAAAATCATCACTATTTAAGTCATTCAGATCATAAGCTACTTATGACTAGTGGGTACTCTAAAATGTGTTCTATTCTACGTAATGTTGGTATTTCTCTATTTCTCAAAAAAAGTTTTCTAATATTGCATTTTCCCTCTGATTTATCCAGAAGGTGATTTTTTTCTTCTCTTAAACATTTGCCTGTGTATACAAAGCACCCAGAGTATTTTATTAGTTCCAGGATGTACTTCTGAACTACTAAAGCTACTCTAGTTTGTTTTGCCTTTTCTGACTTTCAGAGGTACACATTTATTAGCATTTATGAGTTAATAATTAGTACTTGTACAATGTACACAAATAACTCTAATGAAAAGTGTTAACCTATTAGGAATGGGTTGAGGGAATGTTAATTGGAATTGACTTATTCCTGAGTCATTTTCATTTTAATTCCCAAACACAGAGAGCTGGACTGGAAAAGCAAGAACATATGCATATTAGAACATCTCTTTTTTTAAGCAGAAGTCAGCTATTCATAGAAAGAGATAAATATTATCCATCCCAAAGAAGTTAAAGGCTGGCACAATAAGGAATCCCATGGGTTGAGGGTGACACATACATCTTTAACAAATTTAATAGGTATCCATTCATAAAGCATAGCTTATTTTACTTCTGTGAATCAGAGTGATGGTTTAAGTATTGCACAAGGGCACTTCATGTGATGCATGCCACACTTTGGATTCTGCATGGGAGAGATAATCATAAAACAAAGTAACTAAGTGCTCTGAAGCAGCGTGCTTTGGAATAAAGCAACTTAATTTTCAGGTAGTTAGGGAGCTTTCTTTTCAATGACAGCTGTGAATGCCATTTCCCTTAGTTCAACCAAATAAAATGTTAGATTCAAAAGAAGACAAATGGGAACACGCCAGATTTTAAAAAGCTATTTTTCTTTCTTTTTTACCCATTAATCTAAGTATAGATTGCACAGGATTTTTTTCTCTTTCTTGTTCTAGAAAAGTCAAACATACTTTAAATGTATAAAGACGAGGGATACATGGAATTCTACTCTTGGACACTATTCAATGCAAGTATTCTTAGGAGAAGTAAATAAGGCTTTATCAGGCATTTATATCTTAGTGTAAGAAAGCTTAGTAGATTCATTTATGAGACAGGTTAAAGTTCAATTTGCTTTTATCTTTGCAGTGTTTGAATCTTAACTCAGTATATGGAGATCAAGGTCCAAACTTCAACTTTTGTTCAGACACTGAGTTTTTAAAGGAAAGTTATTAAACCTAAGATAATTTCTTTTTATGTGTAGGTTGATCAGAGGATGGTAAAGACTCATGTAGCTCCTATACTTTAAGTTAGTTGTTGCAGAAAATGTTAACCTTCCCTGGAACTTTACTACAAGACAGATGTATCAGATAATACACGAAGATGTTCAAGTCTAGCAAATACTTCTATTCAAAGTCTCTCTCAAAGAGTTATATTTATTGTTTCTTAAAAGAATATCATCTAAGGAAATGTTTTAAACTTCCATTCTTTTTAAAGCAGGGTATTGGCCTGAACACCAAGGATGGCTGTCTATATCCCTTAATTCTGATCATGAACTCAGATGTGAGAAAGTCAAGGGTATCACAGAAAAGGTAGGATGAGAATTTTGTCAATGAATTGGTTTAATTATGCCAAATTAATAGATATCAAGAATTACATGGATTTTTACTGAAGCATAATTTAAAATGTTCTGCTCATTTCAAGTGTACAGAAAAAGTGATTCAGTTATACACATATGTGTATGTATACATATTATTTTTCATATTCTTTAGAAATTATATAAATTAGAAATAGAAAAAAAGTTCCAACTGATAGATTGGTAATACCATTGAATATAGTTAGTATTTGGAGAAATCCTTATCATATGTTTTTGAAGAAGACATGAAACTATTTTGAACAATAACCTACTGGAAGTGAAGGAAAATGTATGTAAGTTTCCCTGGTAGGACCAGGACATAACTGCACAGTGGATAAGAAGGGGAAGGGGCTATTTGGAGATGTGATGAGCTATAATTTTGCAAGTCGAGTCACATCAATTTCCAGGGGAAAGAAACTGAGTAATTTCTTTCTAAGCATATCAGCGTGATTAAAGCATAATTATGTGAAGACATGGTACATTTAAGCAATAAGTTAGGGAGGTATGCTTGTATGAAACGGTGAGCAAGGAGGAGGGACCATCTTCACAGTGACGCATCCAGGTTTAAGAGTGTATATATATATATATATATACACACACTCGAAGTCCAGGTCATGACATTGAAGCTCAGAGAGTGTCCTCTGTGCAACTCAGCTGATCTCACATCTCCTGTCAACGTGTCCTACACGTGCTGCTCCGGAAACTTCTCCTCCCGCTCCCTCGGGGACCACCTGCGCTACCCAGCCTCCTCCCGTGCCTCCTCCTTCCCCAGCGGTGTCTCCTCCTTCCCTTCCTTCAGTTGTTACGGCACTGACCTCTGCTCTCCCAGGACCTGCCGGCCCACCTGTGTGGCGTTCAACCCCTGTCAGACGTCCTGCTACCGCCCAAGGACCTCCACGCTCCACGGCCCCTTCCAGATAACTTATTCCGGTGCTCCCAGATGTGGGTCCATTAGAGGCTGCTCCCTGGGTTATGGATCTAGAAGCTGCTACTCTCTGGGCTATGGATCCAGAAGTTCCTCCTCAGCGGCCTGTGGATCCATAGTCTTCAGACCGCTGGGTTATGGAATTCTTGGCTTCCCTTCTCTGCGCTGTGGATCCAGGTTCTACCACCCAGCCTACTTGGCTTCTAGGAGCTGCCAGTCTTCTTACTACAGGCCAATCTGTAGATCGACCTTCTGTAGATCAACTTGTTGAATTTCCAGAACTTCTGAGCAAAATGTTTCAGTCTCTACTTAAAACTCTCATAGCCTCTTTCAAAAATACTAGCTAAACCCTCTCACCTCAGCATCTCATCTTTTCTCTAGTGTCAAGCACTGACTGACTGACTGACTAATTCAGTGAAATTAATGACCAAAATATTGAGTTCAAGTCTGTAATTTTGTTGAAACAATTGATTCAGAATTACATAAACTTTTCTTACAAAATGCATGGAAATCCAGGTTTGCTTCCCCTAATAAACTCATTCATTCTTGCATCTGATATTTTCATTGTTCTTTATTGGTTTTAAGTTTGATTTATAATCTCTTTGGGGCTCCAGACCCTCAAAGTCCTTTCCCTAGGAATGGATTTGTATTTCCCCAGGAAATGGTATCAGGACTGCTGTATGGGAAATTCTTTGTGCATTCCACTGCCTAAGGGCTAATAAGCGTGCATGTCATCCATTATCAAATCTGGTAGAGTGTTTTTTTTTTTCTTTTTTAAATTGAGAGTGTACTCATAATGGAGTGAATATTCTCATTGTGCTTTCAAGGAGGACACCTTGTGCTGACAACCATATTTGATTTTGATTTTACGTTTTCAAATCAGAACTGATTTAGAGTTTGTACAGAAGATGTCACTTATGGTGATGAAATATTTATAAAATATATTATATCTAATATTCGTTTAAATCTGATACATTGGTTTGAAAAAGAGAAAAGATAAAGTACCATGGTTTGAAGGACATTATGTGTGTGTGTGCTAAGTCATTTCAGTCGTGTTCAACTCTTTGTGACCCCATGGACTGTAGCCCCCCCAGTCTCCTCTGTCCGTGGGATTTTCCAGGCAAGATTACTGGAGTGGGTTGCCATTATGGTTGTCTTTAAATATACAGGAAATGAATTATTAGGTGTGTTTGTGTGAAAGAGAGAGGGAGGGAGGTCTACTCAGATCTGAGACAGGGAACACTTTGAGTTTATTTTAATTTGATCAAGTTGTTTGTCTCAGAGGCTAAATGTAGGGTCAGAATTCAGTTACAACTTTTTTCATAACACATTTAGTAATAACTCGTCATGAGTGGGAAAATAACTATCATTACCGTTTGCTCCAGTCATGTGCTATGAGTGTTTATTAATTTGTTTTCCTTCTTCCTCAAACTTTTTCTAAGTAAATCTGGGAAACGAGGGACTCTTTTCTCCTATATTGAAAATGATCATGGTTAAGCAAAGGAATGTGGGAACCAGGTCCTCTGTGCAGGGGAATCTTCTCAAGAGACAGAAAATTAAAAAAAAAAGAGAAAAGAAAAACCAGAGAAGGGGGACACAAAAGTTTCTGCTGAGCCAGGAGCTTCTGTTTCCAGCATCCTTTAAGCCAGATTTACTTGTCTTTTATGCACTTAGATTATATTGGCCAATAAAGTCTTCTTTTGGTTTAAACTAATTAAAATAATTACAATAAAATAAGATTTCTGTTACTCACATCCAAAGAGTTATAATTAATGTAATGTGTCATCTAGGTGCAGAATTACTCATTGACTTCTGTATAAACAGGAATTTAGATTTTTTTTATTAGTAAGACAAAAAGATCCTGTGAGTCTGAATTCTTGGCATTGGCCTTGAGAAAGAATTCCTCTTCAAGTAAAGTGGAATGAGTAACATATGGACTAAAGACACCACTGGGAAAACAAATTCAAAGGGATCACAGTCATGTGGCCCATGAGAAGGCCTTAGGAACACATTCAACAAACCTAATTTAACTAGAAGCTTCTAACCTCAAGCATGAGAACCCCATGAACAGTATGAAAAGGCAAAAAGATATGACACTGAAAGATGAACTCCCATATCGGTAGGTGCCCAGCATGCTACTGGAGAAGAGTGGAGGAAAAACTCCAGAAAGAATGAAGAGACAGAGCCAAAATGAGAAACGCCCAGCTGTGGATGTGACTGGTGATGGAAGTAAAGTCTGATGCTGCAAAGAGCAATGATGCATAGGAACCTAGAATGTTAGGTCCATGATGTAAACTGGAAGTGGTCAAACAGGAGGTGGCAAGAGTGAACATCGACATTTTAGGCATCAGTGAACTAAAATGGACTGGAATGGGAGAATTTAACTCAGATGAACATTTTGTCTACTACTGTGGATGAGAATTCCTTAGAAGAAATGGAGTAACTCCCAAAACTGTCCAAAATGCAGTACATGGTTAGAATCTCAAACAAGGCATAATGATCTCTGTCTAGTTCCAAAGCAAGCCATTCAATATCACAGTAATCCAAATCTATGCCCCAACCAGTAATGTTGTAGAAGCTGAAGTTGAACTGTTCTGTGAAGACATACAAGACATTCTAGAACTAACACCCCCCAAAAAATGTCCTTTTCATCATAGGGGACTGGAATACAAAAGTATGAAGTCAAGAGATACCTTGAGCCTTGGACTGCAAAACAAAGCAGGTCAAAGGCTAACAGAGTTTTGCCAAGAAAATGCACTGGTTGTAGAAAAAACCTTCTTTCAACAACATAAGAGGAGACTCTACATATGGACATCACCAAATGGTAGATACTGAAATCAGATTGAATAGACATCACCAGGTGGTCAACAATGAAATCAGATTGATTATATTCTTTGCAGCCAAAGACGGACAAGCTCTACAGAGTCTGTAAAAACAAGACCGGGAGCTGACTGTGGCTCAGATCATGAACTCCTTATTGCAAAATTCAGAATTAAACTGAAGAAAGTAGGGAAAACCACTAGACTATTCAGGTATGATCCAAGTCAAATCCCTTATGTTTATAGAGTGGAAGTGACAAATAGATTCAAGGGATTAGATCTGATAGAGTGCTTGAAGAACTATAGATGGAGGTTCAGGACCTTGTACAGAAGGCAGTGATCAAGACCATCCCCAAGAAAAAGAAATGCAAAAAAACAAAATGGTTGTCTGAGGAGGTCTTACAAATAGCTGAGAAAAGAAGAGAAACTAAAGGCAAAGGAGAAAAGGAAAGATATACCCATTGAGTGCAGAGTTCCAAAGAATAGCCAGGAGAGATAAGAAAGCCGTCCTCAGTGATCAGTGCAAAGATATAGAGGAAAACAATAGAAATGGGAAAGACTAGAGATCTCTTCAAGAAAATCAGTGATACCAAAGGAACATTTCATGCAAAAATGGGCACAATAAAGGACAGAAATGGTATGGATCTAACAGAAGCAGAAGATATTAAGAAGAGGTGGCAAAAATACACAGAAGAATTATAAAAACAGAACTTCATGACCCAGGTAATCATGATGGTGTGATCACTCACCTAGAGCCAGACATCCTGGAATGCAAAGTCAAGTGGGCCTTGGGAAGAATCACTACAAACAAAGCTGGTGGAGGTGATGGAATTCCTATTGAGCTATTTCAAATCCTAAAAGATGATGCTATGAAAGGGCTGCACTCAATATGTCAGCAAATTTGGAAAACTCAGCAGTGGCCACAGGCCTGGAAAAGGTCAGTTTTCATTCCAATCCCAAAGAAAGACAATGTCAAAGAATGTTCAAACTACCACACAATTGCACTCATCTCATAGGCTAGTAAAGTAATGTTCAAAATTCTCTAAGCCAGACTTCAACAGTATGTGAACCATGAACATCCAAATGTTCAAGCTGGATTTAGAAAAGGTAGAGGAACCAGAGACCAAATTGCCAACATCCATTGGATCATAGAAAAAGCAAGATAATTCCAGAAAACCATCTATTTCTGCTTTATTGACTATGCCAAAGCCTTTCACTGTGTGTATCACAACAAACTGTGGAAAGTTCTTCAAGAGATGGGCATACCAGACCACCTGACCTGCCTCCTGAAAAATCTGTATGCAGATTAGGAAGCAACAGTTAGAACTGGACATGGAACAACAAACTGGATCCAAATAGGGAAAGGAGTATATCAAAGCTGTATACTGTCACCCTGCTTATTTAACTTGTATGCAGAGTACATCATATGAAATGCTGGGCTGTATGAAGCACATGCTGGGGTCAAGATTGCTGGGAGAAATACCAATAACCTCCAATAACCTCAGATATGCAGATGACACCACCCTTATGGCAGAGAGTGAAGAAGAACTAAAGAGCCTCTTGATGAAAGTGAGAAAGGAGAGTGTAAATGTTCAGTTAAAACTCAACATTCAAAAAACTAAGATCATGGCATCTGGTCCCATCACTTCATCGCAAATAGATGGGGAAACAATGGAAACAGTGACAAACTTTATTCATTTATTTTTGTCTCCAAAATTACTGCAGATGGTGACTGCAGCCATGAAACTAAAAGATGCTTGCTCCTTGGAAGAAAAGCTATGATCAACCTATATAGCATATTAAAAAGCAGAAATATTCCTTTGGCAACAAAGGTCCATCTAGTCAAAGTTATGGTTTTACCGGTAGTTATGTATGGATGTGAGAGTTGGACCATACAGAAACCTGAGCGTCAAAGAATTGATGCCTTTGAGCTATGGTATCGCAGAAGACTTTTGAAAGTCCCTTGGATTGCAAGGAGATCCAGCCGGTCAATCCTAAAGGAAATCAGTCCTGAATATTCGTTGGAAGGATTGATACCAATACTGAAGCTCCAATACTTTGGCCATCTGATGTGAAAAACAGTCTCATTGGAAAAGACCCTGATGCTGGGCAAGATTGAAGGCGGGAGGTGAAGGCAACGACAGAAGACGAGATGGTTTGATGGCATCAGTGACTTGATGGACATGAGTGTGAGCAAGCTCCTGGAGTTTGTGATGGACAGGGAAGCCTGGAATGCTGCAGTCCATGGGGTCACAAAGTGTCAGATATGACTGAGCAACTGAACTGAACTTAACCTCAAGCAAAGAAGTCATCAGGCCCTCTGAGCAGTGTTGGGTGGAGAGAACTGTCTAAAACTCAGAACAGCCCAAGACAAAAGAAAGAGATATCCAGTGATATCTCCCCTCTAGGTACCAGGTGACACTGGGTGGGTGACTTGCTTGGATGATGGTGA